GAATATGTTTATTAGCAGTAGGAGTTATCTGGTGGAATTTTTAGGGTCACTTACGTACACTATAATAACATCTGCAAGTAACCGTACTTTGATTTTTCTTTCCTATTTCTATTCCTTTGATCTCCTTCAGTAGTCTTATTGTTCTAGCTAAAACTTCATGTATTGTATTGACTAGACAAGTAGAGAGCCAACAACCTTGTCTTATTCCTGAATTTAGTGAATTGCTTTGAGTTTTGCTCCATTTATTTTGGTGTTGGCTGCAAGCTTGCTGTAAATTACCTTTATTGTTTTCATGTATGTACCTTAAATTTTATCATGATGAGGTGTTGAATTTTTGTCAAAGGCCTTTCTGCATCTAATGAGATGATCATTTTTTTACTTTCACTTTGTTTATTTGATGTATTACATTACTGATTTTTGTGTATTGAACCATCCCTGCAACTCTGGGATAAAGCCTACTTGATCATGGTGGATGATTTTTTGATGTGTTATTAGATTCAATTGGCAAATACTTTATTGAGTAGTTATGCTTCTGTGTTCATAAGGGGAATTGGTCTGTAATTATTTTTCTTTGTTGAATCTTTCTGTGATTTGGGTTCAGGGCAACTGTGGGCTCATAAAATGAATTTGGCAATGTTCTTTCTGTTTCTATTTTCTAGAATAATTTGAGAAGTGTTGGTATTAACTCTTCTTGGAAAATGTGGTAGAATTCTTGCTAGAACTGACTGGCCCTCTACTTTTTTTCTGGTGAGAAGACTTATTGAGTTTCTGCAACACGAGCTTTGACTCTACTTTACTTAAGGTTTTAGTTCTCTTCAAATTGCATATCTCATCTTTATTTAACTTTACTAAAGTGGTACCTATACAGAAAATATTCATTTCTTTTATATTTCCAATTTGGTGGAGTACATGTTAAAAAAGTATATCCTTATGGTTCTCTTGATTTCTTCACTGTGAGTTGTTATGCCTCCCATGTTTTATTTCTGAAGTCATTAATTTGGATATTCTCTCTGTGTCTTTTGGACAGTTTGGATAAGGGTTTGTCTGTATGGTTAACTTCCTCAAAGAACCAACTCTTTGTGTCACTGATTCTATGTATTGTTATCTTTAATTCTATTTTCTTGATTTGAGCTCTTAATTTGATTAATTCTTGCCATCTTATCCTATTGGGTATTCTTATTTTATTTTGTTCTAGAGATTTTAGTTTTGCTGTTAAGTTTCTATTATGAGATCTGTCCAATTATTTTATGTAGGCACTTAGTGTTATGAACTTTTCTCTTAGCACTGCTTTCCTTGTGTCCTATATGTTGGGGCATGTTGTGTATTCATTTTCCTTAAATTCTAAAAGTCTTTAATTTATTTCTGTTTATTAATTTTTTATCTTGAAAGATTTGGTATGTTAAATGACCCCATTTAAATGATCTTTAATTGGGAATTAAAAATAAGTACTCCCAAATTATGGTAAAACAACAGTTCAAGTATAAAGGAAGAACTATGTGAAATACTTTATAGAGTAAAAAATAAAATGTTAGAAAATTTGTGTGAGAGGTTTTATTCTACCAATTTCCTTGTGGTGAGGGAGCAACGCCAATCTAAGTGGCAATGACATTTTGTAATAATTTTAGTACCTAAAAAGAATCATGTTCTGTGATTAATATATTATTCTTTCCCTAAAGTATTCCTAAAAAAGAGGCTGTTGAGAAACACTAAGAGCTACAATAACAGCATTTGAAAAGACAAGAAAAAATTTAATTAATTTCAAATTCTACATTTTACTTGTCTTACACTATGACTTCAACGAGCATAATTTTGCTTCCTTTATTATTACTTCACCTGTTTATTTATCATAGTAACAGTCATATTTTGTAGCATGACTAACTGTAGAACTCTTGATATATTACATTTGACTGTCTTTATAAAACACATTTTTTATTAAACAAAACACATCATTGTCTTCATGTTTATAGTGATAACATAGGTGCAATTCTCTAGAATTTAACATGTCAAAGCTCTTGTTGCAGAAACTCAATAAATTATATCTAAATTCAAAGGAAAAAACAAGATTGGGATTTGGCTTTGTTAATGTACTAAGTTGTGAATGTTTTTCAATTCCCACATCCATTATCAAATGAAGCTTGCAGAGCAACATCCTTTGAGTATATAAACCAACCTTTTTTAAAAAAATGTATAATGTTTAACAAGTCACTTTCTGACTTTTCCATTATTCTAGTGCTTTGCTACTCTTTCTAAATTTTAAAGCAGAGAACTGGCTAGTGACTTGTCAAATTGCAATTCAATAAATCAATACCAAATTTTAAATTCATGACACAACATATTTTGATTTTATTTTCTATTATAAAAGTGTTACCTCAGAACTGGAGAGGTGACTCTGTGTTTTAAAATGTTTGATGCACAACAATGTACACTAGAGTCCAAATGGGAGCATCCATACAAGAAACCGAGTGTCCTGCATTTTGGCATAACTAGGTCCTGAGTAAATGATGCTAAGAGGATAGCTATGGCTTGCTGTGTTAAAACTTAACCATTAAAACAGAGACCTTTATTAAAAGAGATGCCCTGCCTTAAAGGAATAGGAAGACAGTGATAGAGGACACCTGAGATCCACTCTCTTTTGTCCCCAATAAATACTCACATGCACATATACCCATACATGTGCATGGACACATACACACACCAACAATGTAAACACAAATAATTTCAATAGTTTAAAAACTGGCAACTAGTTGAGTCTTTGTTCAGCTACCTATGAAAACCCATAATAATTCTATTGTCCAAGAAAGTGCACTCTATTCGGGGTTTCAGAATCCTAAACACATAGGGTTGTTGTTGTTGTTGCTGCTGGAGAGAACAAACAGGAATGGAAAGAGATTTAGTTTTGTACTATCAACTAACAAGGATGTCATTGTATGTCAGACAAAAGAGATACATGATAGATAGATAGATAGATAGATAGATAGATAGATAGATAGATAGAAAGAAAGAAAGAAAGAAAGAAAGAAAGAAAGAAAGAAAGAAAGAAAGAAAGAAAGAAAGAAAGAAAGAAAAGAAATGAAAGAAAGAAAGAATGATAGACAGATAGGTGATAGAGAGACATTGCTCTGTTTGTGGCTGCATAGAAAGTGCATTTTTCTCTTGAGGCTTCTCAAATGAAAATTTTCTCTTTGCCAGCAAAGTAACACCTTCAATCAATTTCTCTTTTAGCTTATGTAAGAGATCCTGATTAAAATAAGGATGATTCACAGATGGAACATGAAGCGTGCTGTTCCCCCTGGATATTAAAGGACAAACAAACAAGGTCTCTTCAGACATCAATTTTCTGTCAGAATGATCGGAGAACAGTCACTGAATGGCATCCATTAGGGAGAATTCAAGGCCAACAGCCGCAGTGGGTTTTGGTAACTGCCTAGGAGTGTCTCCTGGGAACCATAAGGCGCTGACAAACAAGACTCCCTCCATGTTGTGTCAAGCATCTGAATGATGGCCTTATTCAGGACTGACATTTGGGTGATTAACTGCATTTTGCACTTTAGAATTTGTTCTTTCTTGTCATGTTCTCATATTAGTCAAAAAGAAGTAACACCTTGAATCTGATGCACAATATTCCAGTTTTAACACCTGTTTAAGACTTTATTCATGACCACACTTGACTCTACCTGACACATAAACTAAAAGTTATGTCCCATGTCTAACTTTTAGTTTGATCAATTGAATTAATTACCACAGTTTTTAAAAACTTCTCCAGTCTTTCTCAATCTCCCTTCCTCTCTCCCCCCTCTTTCTCTGATATCTCAAGAGAAAAAAAAAGATTGTCAAACTAACTTTAGTATTACTAAACTCTCCATCTGTTGATCCAACTCTTTCATATATCTGTATATCTACACACATTAGACATATGCACTTATATATCTTTAATAATAAGTTGTCATTTAAAATGTGAATTTAGAATGTGTAATGTTAATATGTGAAAAACCTCAATGACCTGGATTATTTTTAACCTAAATATTTGAAGTAACTGTATTACCCATGATTAGAACCTCAAAATCATAAAACAGGACAAGTAGTAGTTTTCCGACACTGTGTTAACAGTCTAAGGTATAATAGTAACAGACAGCTAACATATTCCACTAGAATTTCTAGGAGAGAAGAGGATGCAGATGCAGAGGGAAACAGCCCTCAAGTAAGGAGAGATCTGTTTCTGAAAAAATTCTCAGAGCCATATACTGGGCATTAAATATCTATCAGTTAGCTATAAACAGTCATGGCTAAAAGCATGGATTTCAGAAAAAAAAAATGAGACAAAACTAAATTAAACATTAACAACTTTCAACAATATTCTGACATTATGGATATTAAATTATAAATGAGTGTAATTAAAATTAAAATCACTAAGCATGTAATGCAGGAGAATAACTCATATGATTGATAGTTCTTTAATTTTCACCAATATCTAAATATCATTTTTTATTATGTATTTCACAGGAGCATAGTTTAGTTAGTAGGCAATCCTAGGTTGGCCGTTAGTTTTTATTTTTAAACCTCATTGGATATCTTGCTATGTTTGTACTTCTCTTCCAACAATGGTGTGACAAAATCAGCTCTCCTGTACCACACAACCTTTAACATCATTTAACTTTAGGAATTTTCCTTTGATTTATGAAGTTTTGGCAGAACATGTTAACCTCTGATCTATTGTTTTAAATTTCTATTTTCTGACCTGTTCCCAATAAAGAATTTTCCTTTTTTCTTATTTCACCACATTTGGACAATTTTCAGCCATTATGCTCTTTGCTTGGCCCCATCCGACTCTCTCTGCTCTCCTTCTGGGACTTCAGTCACTTGTTCAATAAGGTTTCTTGTGCTCTACTCTCTGCACTTTCCAGAAATTTGTACTCTGTTTCATTCCGGGCAAGATTTCCTGGCATGTTTTCTAGTTCACTAATCCTCTTTTTAGTTTCTCATAAAATCCTACACCGAGAGAATTCAACAGAGTTTCCAGCCATTTTCTCAAAGTAGGTATCAAATGCAATACAGTTTTCAGATTCTCACAAATACAAAATACAGAAGCTATTTTATTACCTTGAATATAAGTGCTTATGATCTTTAAGGTAAGTTGATTTAGAATATTTGAGATTTAGATAAATGTTAGCCTAAATTTTCTTAAGTTTGTTATTGTGTTTTGCTTATAACCCCCCCCCCTCTCTCTCTCTCTCTCTCTCTCTCTCTCTCTCTCTCTCTCTCTTTCCTTTCTTAATTATGGTACTTAAAAAAACCAGAGTCCTGCTATATTCTTTTGGTTTTGTTTTTAAGTTGCTTGAAGCTACTAGTGAAATTATATTAACATCATCAAAGTTAAGGAGACACTCAAAATTCTATGGGCCATTCAAACTTTCTTACAAAAATGAGAAAGGCTACTCACATAGATGCATGCTTTGCCCATTTTATAATGTTTGCCAATGAACTGCACATTTCACTAAACAAAAGGAAATGAATGAATGTGCCATTTGAATAAGGTGCAAATTTTACACATCAAGATTTTAACTCTATCATGAAGAGTTCTTTATATTTGGACATTCCATTGTTGTCAGCACAACATTACATTTTAACATTTGTTTAATGTATTAAAATGTAAAGCTTATTTTCATGAGAATCTCATTAAATATATTAAACTCATTATCATCACAATTTGAAAGCAAAGGGAAATTTTTAATTAGATAATTAAAGAAGTTGCTCATAACTTTCAAAAAAGAGATCATCTATGCTGTTTGGTTGCCCCTGTCACAAATTCAGTAGTTTATATCAAAATGAATCTATCTATCTATCTATCTATCTATCTATCTATCTATCTATCGATCTGTCTGTCTGTCTATCATCTATCATCTTCATCAAAATATTTATAGATAATAGCTAATTAACATTGACTATTCAAATGCATTATATGACGTCTAACAAAGTACTTTCAAATATAAAGTTTCAACTTTATATTTTGTTACATAAGCAAGAGTTGTATAGCTTGATCTGCTTAAGGGGCCCCCTGGCAATAGGATCAGGATCCATCCCTGGTGTATGAGAAGGCTTTGTGGAGCCCACTACCTATGATGGGACGTCTCGCACAGCCTTGATGCAGGGAGAGGGTCTTGTACCTGCCCCTACTGAATGTGCCAGGCTCTGCTGACTCCCCATGGGAGGTCATACATTGTTGGAGGGAATTGGGGATGGGTTGGGAGGGGTTGCTGGAGGTACAGGAGGAGGGAAGAAAGGGGATCTGAAGTTATTATGTAAAATGAATAAAATTTTCCTTAATAAAAAATTAAAAAACTTGACATACATATTTATTTCAAAATAATTTGCAACTTATTTTCTAAATGTCATTCGTATTTATAATTGTCATGAAAAGAATGTTAGATCATAGAGCTAAATGGACAGTAGCCAGACACCCTTATCACTGTAGACCCACAATTCACACAGTTTTAGGTAAGTCTCAGAGCAGTAATTTAATAACCATTCCTGGCAAGGAGAAAGAATCTCTATTTCCTTTACTCATAGGAGCTAATCCACATAACACACATGCTTAGGAGGATCCTTATGATGATCATATATTACTTTCAAAAGTCACGACCCTTAAGAAAATCAAAAGTTCAGTCCTCCAATCAAAACTCAGAAGCAATTCATGCATCGTAGAACATCTTAAAAATATTTTCAAGCTAACCTTTTTCTTTACTATTATAGTTAGTATTAATTGTCGACTTGAGAGAATATAGAATTGCTTCAGAGATGGGCCTTTGGGTATACTTGTGGACATAATCTTGGTTACATTAATTGCAGTTGGAAGATGTTCCTGCTATGGGAGGCACCATTTCCTGAGTAGAAAATTTTGGGCCCTAGAAGATTAAGAGTACTAAGCAGAGAGCAATGTATTCATGGCGTTTTGGCTGACTGAAGATATACTTGAAGATTCTGCTGTCTTGAGATCTCCAACATGAAGATCTTGAACTAGGAGCTAAATTAAACCATTTCTCCCTTATATTACTTTGGTTAGAGTATTTATTACATCAATAGGAAAGGAATCAAATGCACATAATAAGGTAATTATAGTGTTATATTTTTCAGGTGTCTCTGGGAGGAGCATAAAAGATGTTTAAACAGATATTGAATACTATTTTCTCAGAAGCAAACGAGTATTAACACATGTTTTCGTGGAGAATCTAAGGTGGCTTTGCTTATGCTTTTATTTGTTTTTATTTATATTTCTCAAAGATCAATAAACAGTGAAGGAATTATATCCTATCCTGCACATTCTGAGCATATCCATTAATTCAAGCACTCAGTGTGCGCTTGTTATCTATGAGTCCAACAGACTAGGAAGATAGCCAAAAGCACACATATCACAGTCTTTTTAAGCACAAAGAAGAGTGAGGGTTAAAAATGAGATAGGCTGTTTGCATCATATACCTATACCAGATGATAAAATTGCAAATAGATCTTATGTAGATATTTAAAGGCAGCAGCTCATGGAACTAGAATGGTAAAAAAAAAAAAATACAAATAAAAAATATCATATCCTGTCTGACTGAAGAGGCTGTACTAGCAAGGGCTATTTTTTTTTTTGGTCTCTATTGTTAAAATTATACTAGCACAATTTAGAAAATATAGACACACATAGGATAACTTACATGAAATGATATCCTTGCAAAATCATGGTGTAAACATCCTTTCATAACCTCCAAAATACATGGGTATTAAATAGTAATGTCATCATGACTGAGATTTAAAGAAATTTCAATAAGAAAATACCTTTTAATCTTTTCTTGAAAGCATCATTTAATTAAAGAATATAAAAAAAGAATATTTGAGTGTTCTTGTCTTCTGAGGAATTGACAATCTTTCACAGAAAAGTTAAAGTTAAGCATTGTGTTTTTGTAAAGGATTTTTTGATCAAATATGTAAGCTATTTCTTTTTCAGTCACTCATAAGAAATATTTTTAAAATGATTAAGATTAATGTATAGAAAAGATTAAGGCATGGTTAAAAATCCCAGCACTTGGGAGGCAGAGCCAGGTGGATCTCTGTGAGTTCAAGGGCAGCCTGGGTTACCAGGAGAGTCCCAGGAAAGGCGCAAAGCTACACAGAGAAACCCGTTTTAAAAAAAAAAAAAAAAAAAAAAAAAAAAAAAAAAGAGAAAATCAAAGCTTCTGTAAAATTGAGACAAAAAGTCTATCTACCTGATTCTCTGTTAAGCAACAAACATTGAGTCACCACTCTCCCGAAGTCACAACTTGAATAATAGTTAAGAACCTGAAGATTAGCTAAAAGATTAGCGTTCTACAGGTCATGGACAGCAACAGAACAGGCAAGCAGGTGGGCAATGTGATCATATTTGCATTTTTGAAAGATGAGTCAGCCAGTCATGTATTGGTGAAATTATTAAGGCCACTCCACTTAGTTAAAAGGGAGGTTTATTTAGTGGCATAACTTACAAATGAAGGGATAGGTAGGTTCCAGGGTCTGGGAAAGATGTAGCACATAGCGCAGTCCTGCTGTGTTCTTTGGAGAATGCTGCTCGGTCTACCTCCAGTGTCCAGTGTCCAGGAACCAAGAGAGTTGGCACATGCCGATTTTGGGTCTTAAGGGTCCTCTCTTGGCTCTGCCTTGTAGGTGTGACAGTTACCGAAGCCTCAATGTGGATTGGAACTTCCAGATAAAGGTTGGAATGGCTACCCATTACAGTCATGTGAAAGCAGAAGAGAAGGAGAAAGAAGCAATCACCAGACCTTAATTCCCTCTATGCAACAGCTCACTGAGAACAGACATTTTCATCTAAATTTTGTTTTAGGAGCTCTCTCTTTGTGCTCTTTTGAACAGCTAAGATGCAAAATTCAAGACAAAACAGGATAAGGAATAGGAAGATGTTTTTTTCTCAGATAAAAATCATTAACAGTTTCAAACATCAGTCTGAGTCTTCAATTGTTTTTTGCAGATAATGTGTATAGCGTTCAGTATATTTTGGGCTTTTTCAATGTTTATGTTTTGGAAAGGGGTGAAAAGTGAGTGCTATGAGGTTTCAATGGAGAAGAAACTGGGGGGAAATAGAAGAAATGTGAGCCATTAGGCCTGGAAAATATCAAAGAAGAAAAGAAAACCCATACATGGAAAGATGCTTGGGCTAAGAAAAAAGTCCAGCAACTAGAAATCTCCAACAGGTTAAGAAAGTATGGGGTAATGCAAAAATCATATAATGGGAAATCTAGAAAGATGAAAGAACCAGAAATGTACTTGGCATTGTCTTTGGGCCTCCAACCAGTTCTCAAATAAAACACATAGAGATTTATTATTAATTATAAATGCGCAGTCTTATCTTAGATTTGTCCCACTAGCCCTTTTAACTTAATTTAACTTGTTTCTGTACATCTACATTTGACTGTGGGGCTTTTTATCTCCTTTCATTCTGTATGTCCTACATTCCTGCTACCTCTGTGTCTGGATGGCTGGCTCCTGGTGTCTCCCTGGCTCCTTTTCTTTCTTCTAATGAGTCTAAATTCCTCTTCCAACTTACTCTCCCTGCACGAGTCCTGCCTATACCTCCTCACTCACTTTTAGCCCTTCAACTTTTTATTAGACTAATAAGGTTCCTTAGGAAGGCAAGGTGAAATAGCAACATGTCTTTATATAATTAAACAAATGCAATACATCTTTATATAGTGAAACACATGCAACACATTTTTGCATAGTTAAACAAATATTCCACAACATACAAACAAATGCTATCTGTAGGCATGTAATAATGCAAATGAAGCCTTTATCTCTGTACTTATTTTATTAATAATCATATTCTTTATAGACAAAGAACAATTGCTAAATGTGTTCATTGTCCTTTTCCATATTATAGCCTCATACATAGTACAGTAGTATTTTTTCTTATCTATCAATTATCTACCTATGTGTGCACATTGCAATAGCATATATGTGCAAATATTACATACTTCAACCAATTTCCTGTGTAAGCATGTTATATCCATTTATAAGCATATTATCTGTATTATATGTATATATAATTATACGTGTGTAGTATAGCATACACACGTGTGTGTGTGTGTGTGTGTGTGTGTGTGTGTGTGAGAGAGAGAGAGAGAGAGAGAGAGAGAGAGAGAGAGAGACAGAACGTGCATATACCCACAGACCTGTCAAAGATAGTAAACTAAAATGGAAAGCAAAATAATGAATATATTAACAAAATGCTAGGTTGAATACATCATTTTTGTTATCTGTCAGGAAGATCACACACAGATAATATGAAGATATGCAAGCCTGCTGTTGATTGACATTCCTTTTGACCCCACTGAGATGAAACAAGTTGTGATGGACACTGTCCAGCCACACACAGTGTGGCTAAAAAAAAGAAGTTTCAAGGATGTGGCTTTAGTTCAGTGTCATTATAGAGAAGTAAACCTGTGTGAGGATGAAGATGTGACCTCTGCTTCCTGACAATGAGCCTCCACTCCTCAGGACCATAGCTTTGGAAAGTCACTGAACCCCTTGATCTCAGTTGCCTTCTATTAAAAAGGATGTTATAGTACTGCTCCTATGGTATAGGGCTTTTATGACTATTTGTTGCTTGATTTCATTACAAGCACTTCCAAACTAACATATGGGACACTTGTTAAAATTTAGCCATTATTGTTAACAGGGTAGAAATAGTATCTCTCTTTTGCAGTATTTATAATTTAAGAAAATCTTAAAATTCGAGCAGCTGCGTAAAGTTTCAATCCTTTGGTAAACTCACTGAAGAGCTTTCTAAGCTGGAATATCATCTTACAACCTTTGTGGTTGACACGATAATCATCCAGTGTAATATTAAGATTCTATGCCCAGGTGTGTGGGAAACCGAGTCCTATTTTGTGTTTTAAGACTCTAGTGCCTACAGTGGCTATTTGGATCATTATTGTTTTAAAGACTTTTGGTGTTAACTCAGAATATTCAAATAGTGTTTGATAACTATGATGTTCTTGAAGAAAAACATAATTTTAATTTATTTCCTATTATGTAACATTTATACTTTTGAAATATTCAATTGAGCTAAATAAGAGAGTGAACAAAGTAACACACAAAGGCAGATTTCATACCTTAAATTTTAATAGGAGTATTTTTATTGAACAGTAAAATATGCTATCCATGCATTTATAGGAATAGATAAGATTCCTTGTTATTGTTATGTCCTAGATTCATATTCATTATCTTGTGTACATTAAAATGTTTGTAGTTTGAAGAAATATATCAAGACAGTCAGACAACTTCTTACCTAATTCTATGACTAGATTTTTACAAAGCTTTCTTACTCTTTACATTTCCCAATATGCCTAAATATAAATGAACTTTTATCCACAAGTTATTGCTCATTATAGATTACCTATCATAATATTAAATACTAAGTCATTATGCATTTAAAATATTAAAGATAAAGAAATGAACTATTGAAATAATGAGATAAATGAAGGTCTTTTGGCACATATAAGCCAATAAATATAAAGGGAAACTGTAAAAGTATATTCTGGTTGAAAATTTCAGAAAGCAAAAATAATGCTAATAAATGGTTATTAACATTATTTAGTGTTTTAATTACAGTTGTTTACAGAAAAATCAAAACACAGATATGAATGCATCTTAACATGGAAACTATGATAAAATATTCCAAACTCTAGTCCCTTCTGAGTAGTTCAAATACTTGCCATTAAACTATTTAACACTTTCTATACAACATTTGCCCATTGCTCCATTATACTCTGTCATTTTACTTAAGTCACTTTAATAAAGCATATTCATGATGTAATATAATAGTATCAGAGAGAAAGAAAGCTGCATGAATTAGTACTAGTGTATTGTTTCTATTCATCACCAATTTAGTCCTTTATAGTGGAAGAAAAAGTGAGAGGGGAGAAAGCTCTTAGGCCTGTCAAGATTAATGTGCTGCCAGGATTGTTAATCTCTCTCTCCGTTCAAAAGAGCACAAAGAGAGAGCTCCTAAAACAAAA